TGCTGCAAAACAAGAAGCAAGTAAAATGCTTATAAACTGAATAAAGTTTATAGTGTTCTCCAAATGCAAAGAGGAATAGGAATAGGAATAGGAAAGTCGTATGCGATTGTGGAACATTTATTTGTCCATATGATTATTAAGTTTTCCTTTTATATTAGTTTCGCCTCTGTGCGATGCACAAAATGTGCACGCATGCTTTTGCGCTAACACTTGAGATGCACGGAATGTGCACTCATGCTTTTGCCCTCCCCGTCCTCCTTCCTCTCCAATTTTCTCTTTGTCATCACATAATTTGGAAAGTTAGAGAATTATAAAGAGTTGACGTGGTGGTGGTAAAAGAATTAGAGAAGATAAAATTATTTTTTTTCTTTAAATTAAATAAGTGGATGCTAGTTGGTGGAGGAGTAGATTGTATAGTGATATTGAATTAGTCGTAGACTATTAGTATGATGGAGTGGTGGTACAATATAATATTTAGAGATATAATATCATTGAACAAAACATTGTGTATAGATGCATCAATAGATCACCATTTTAACATTTTAAAAAAAGAAAGAAACATTGGTTAACATTTTTTTTTTTTATTGTGTAGTGCAAATCGAAGAAAATTTTGGAAATCTTGATTTTTCTTTTGCTTAAGGAAATAAGGAGATACTGTACTGGGATTGGCTAGATTGGAGTGGGAGGTATGATTAATAAGGTTACACAGGTCTTCCTCCAGATCGCAATTATTTAGGTGATATGGATTTTTTTGGGGTTTCGCCTTGAAGACCCGCTTTCTCTCCTTTTCTTTATATGATTTCTCCATACCTCCTTCTTTTCTTAAAGCAAAGAAAAAACTTATTTCCCATTTGGAGACCCTTATCATGAAGCTTGCAAGTCGACCTCTGCTACAAGATTTAAGTATCTGGAAGAGACGAAAATCCTATCAAATAGTAGCCTAGTACGTATTCCCACTTTGCCTTATCTCTCATTGTTCTATTGTCCTTATTGTGATGTATAAACTTTTATCTTTTCACTCAATTTTGATTGTATTATGAGTTATTCGTGAAGGTAAACGATACTTTTAATTTTTTTTCCTTTTTATAATGCATATGGAACGTTAAAGCCACTTGTCACTATATGTTTTTCTATATATATATATATTTGTTGTTGACATGGAATGTGCTCTCACTAGTGGCTAAATTATATGTTATATGGTAATATAATTATTCATGGAACACCCCAATGTCACGATAGTTACATTCACGAGTTATAAACATGATTTAGAACACGTACTGCAAAATGTTAAATTAAAGACAATTTTACGTATTATCTTCCTGCCAAGGACTTAGACTAGATTGATATTCTTAGCTTTTTCCAAGCATTTAGAAAATTCGGTCCATTCTTCATTTTTTCCTCGAGATTTTTCATTTCTTAAGTATCTTAAAAAAAAATAGTCTCGCCTAGTAGTCTTTTCAGTGCTAACAACATATCCAAATTCAAATTGACGCATAAAGATTTTATCAAGCACTACCAAGTACCAATCCTACAGTTTGTATAGATTTTAGACTTTTTTATTAACAATATAATCCAAACCTTATAGTTTATGAACACGATAATGATATTCGAACCCATGACTTAAGCCTTGTGCCGCTATCCCCAAACCCCAAGAAACATCAACTCCGAAACACATTAAGAAAAGAAACATATCTGAACAAAAAGTGGACAGACGCAGGACTATTCCAAAGTCCAATTATATTCACTATGCTTAAACGAATAAATTCTAAGCATAAATCAAGTGATAATTGAGATGAATTGTCTTTGACCGGATTAGAGAGAGAATTAGTCAAAATGTGTGTAAGATGAGACAGACCCCCTTAACCATTGAATTAAAAAATAAACAAGATGTGTTTGATAGATTATTTTACCAATCCTAGCTAATCCCGATCCAACCGCCTCTAACCTAAGAAGAACGATTACCACAAAGAAATTGAATGATTGGCTAAGATTCAAATGCACCAATGAGATAATTATGATTAGCACAAAGAAATTGAATGATTTGGTGGTAAGATTCAATGCACCAATCAGATACTCAAAAGTCAATGTATTGACTGATTGACAAATAGGACAAGGCAAGTGTCATCAACCCGAAGATAATAATATTTATAAGCCCCTAATATAACAATGGCATTGCCACTTCCATGAAAAAAATGCCATGTTTTGTGGGTATTCGTTGCTTCTCCTCAATATGTTATTCACTGATTGGTCCATAAAACAAGTGCGCATGCTACATTTTATCATTGTTTTATTTTACTTTCAAAGAGGATTAAAAAACCCATTAGTACAAAGAGGTGGGAACATGTGACTAAATATCTTATTTTCTATTCATCCCAACATAAATTCTATGAAAGGAATTTCGGTACTACGACATAAGTTATTATTATTTTTTTTAATATTTTTTAAGATTATCCTCTTGCTTGCCAGAGAATTGAGGTTCTAGCCTTCCCACATTCTCTAACGTCGAGTCAACGTTGTCTTTTAGGAGACATGTTTTTAAACTAACTCGAATTATAATGGTCGACTTAAAACTTAAAAGAATAGTCGACATAAATTTGAACACCCTACAACAAAGAAAAAAATTAAATTATAACTGTTCAAGATAATTCACAATCAATCATGAGTAATTATAATTAGTTATAACTTTATTTAAAAAAATATATAATTTAATCTTTAAATATTATAATATTTTAAAATTAACTATCACTTATATCTCTAAATATTATAAAAAAAAAATTATAAATTTTAGTACAATCCCATCGCCTAGTCTTCCTCCTTATTAATTCCACGCGGATTGCCATCAAGTCTGTCAATGCTGTTGTCCCTATGAAGTCTTTGTACACGTGAATACCACTAGTAGACCAGAGGTCAACTTGGGACCGACAGACTCTTTTTCTTATTGTCTCCTCGCAATCCTCCAACAGTGCCCACACGTGCACAGTCAGGCCTCCGATGACCGACATGCAGCCTCCGGAGGGAATTTTTAGTAATTAGTTATGGACAAATTACACTTTTACCCCTTCAATTATTCCTCAATCAAACATTTTCTCTCCACAATTTGCACCTTCCATAATAATTATCATTTATATCTTCTCTAGATTCATATCTTTAATAAAATACCTCTATTATCTAAAATATCATTGATATCCCTTATAGTTTATATTTAAACATTATTGGCAAAAAAGTGGCACACGACAGTTTGCACTCTAAAAGATTAAAAAATTCTTAATTTACATTCTCAAAGATTAATTGTTTTAAATTGACCATCAATTAAATTAATTAATAACAATGTAACCCCAATCATAGTGTATGTTTCGATTTTTATCAAGTTGACAATCATGTGAGACGTACATAAAAAAGCAAAGGGTCATAATTTAATATAAGTCAAAACATGCATTTCACGTAGCTGTTAATTTGATGAAAATTGCAATCCCAACAATAACGTCCATGTTGATTTTTATTGAATTGATAGACATGTGAAACGCACATAAAAAGGGGAAGCCCATAATCCGATAAAAATCATCACATGCATCTAACGTGGCTGACAATTTGATAAAAATCACAACAAACATTATGTTTGGGGCCACATTGTTACTAATTAATTTAATTGAGGGTGTAAATTATTTTTTTAATCTTTCAGGGTGCAAACTATTATTTTTCCACAAAAAAAAAAAAAATCTAAAATATCAAAGTTGCCCCTACATAATCCCCCAACAATCTTTCTACGTAAAATTTATTTTAAATTTGAGCCAATTAAAATTGTTTTTCTATATATTAAAATTTGAACCAGACTAAAATTTTGTTCGAGCTGATTAAATTTTTCTTACGTATTAAAATTTGAACATATTAAAATTTATTTGTTTATGTATTAAAATTTGTGCTTAACTTGAGCTGCTAGACCTGATTAAAATTTATATTTTTTAATATATCCAAATTCAGGCTGGTTAAAATTTAATTCGAGTTAGTTTAAATTTGGCTTGAATTTTAATACATAAAAAATATAATTTTTAATCTAATTAAATTTTAATACGTAAAAATGAATTTTAATTAGTTCAAAATGAATTTAATCGACACGAATTTTAATAAATAAAAAATTCAAAAAATAGAAAGGGTTTCATTGACGTTATGCTTATCTAGAGGAAGTGTGGATAAAATTTTTCTTAAAATATATCATGGACAATTTAGTAAAATTATATTCTAATTAACGTCATTAATCTGATAAGGGATATCTAATGTTTCAGATAATAACCTCATTAAATATATATATATCTAGAAAGGGCGTCAAAAATAATTATCCTAATTATTATACACATATTTTCTTCTCAATTATCACATTCCATTATAATTAGGTTTACACTGCCTACGTCTTACTAAGAGGAAAAGATTCATGGTTGTACTCTATCTTAGTCCTAGGGGAATAGGGGAAGACCCTGTGATTGGTTGAATTAATGATTTCTTTTCAATCTCTTTGATTGAACTTGAAAAAAACTCTGAATCTTCAATTTTTGTCTTTGAAGGAATCATGTCATTAGGAATATAAAAAAAAAAAAAAGTAATTTTCTCAAACTTTAGAGATTAAAACAAACATTTTACTATATGCATGCACATAGTTAAAAGCATTGCGAATGTCTAATTTTCGGACAACTTGAAACTAATTTATGTGGTTGATGGAGAGTGTGAAAAATATAATAGTTAAAAGAATAAAGTGAGATCAGGGTCATATTTTAGGGGATCAAAGTATAATTTTTTTGAAGGTGCTGAGGAACTGCTCTACACAGAAAAAGTAAACTATATGCTTGGGCCACCCAAAACCATCTTTTTTCGAGAAGACACGTATCCATATCATGAAGTGAACTCCCACCTCCTATAGCCGGTGACAATTTAACGGCCTTAAACGAACGGCTGTGATTTCGACAGCTTCTTCATGCAGCTTTAAGACTGCACATGAACACCTCATTCTCACTTTCCTATCCCTGTTGAACTCTCTCTCTCTTTCTCTCGTAAGGTTGCTGTGAGGTATGCTTCTCGTCACTTTTTTCTTCAGTTAACATAGTATCCTAACAGTCTGTGATCATATTCTTGGGTTTTTGAAGTATTTGAATTACTGTTAGTAGGTGAACTTTCTTGTTGATCGAGTTGATAGATACAGTATTAGAATGCAGAAATTAGTTAACAGTATCTGATCTTTACAGACCCTTTTAGCTGTATGTAATGTTTATATAAACTTGTTAAACCCTGAGGGCATGTTTGGTTCGGTACAATCTTGTTGATTCAGTATTACTAGGGGTGGTGTCATATACTCGTTTAATGGGTTTAAGGAGGTTTATAAAGTTCTGTTTTTCCAAGACAAAAATCTGAATTTTGATGATTTATATGGTTAATATTTGTTTTTTCAACACAAGATTAGCGTAGGAATATAGCTCAACTTGGAATTTGGGGTGGTTGAGGTCCAATTTCGACAGGGCTTTTGTCTAGTAGATAATAATGGATCCACGAGTTCGTCCATTTTCGGGTTCTATAAATGGAGCCCAATTGGAGAATCAATCCGTGTCTGTTTTTCCGGATGAGAAACTAGTCAGTGGTGGTCCTAGATTTGAAAATATTATTGGGAATGGGAGACTAATTAGAGGGCCTAGATTTGAAAATACCTTTCTAGATCACAGTTGGGGAGGAATTGAATCGATTCGCAATGATCCACCGTTGAGTAATACATTCACAAGTTCTAGCACAAGTCGTGAGGAAGATTATCATGAAGACTGTGATTTCTCAGACGCTGTTCTGAGCTATATAAACCAGGTACTAATGGAAGAAGACATGGAGGATAAGACATGTATGCTTCAAGAATCTTTGGATCTTCAAGCTAAAGAGAAGTCATTCTATGAGGTCCTTGGCAAGAAGTACCCACCTTCATCACCTGATCCACACCCAACTTATGCTCACCAAACTATCGAGAACTCAGATGATTGTTTGTCGGAATATCAGCTCCATTACACTAGTAGCAGTAGGGATGGTGATGGTTACTTACTTGATCCTAGCTTAGTTGATCTATGCTGGAAAAACAATTCAGCTGATTGTGATACCTCTCTAATACAAAGTCTTACAGCTTATAAATTTTCCCACTCATTGGTTAGCACTATAGATGGGTTTTTGGGCTCCCCTATAAGTCCTCTTCACTTTCGTGATTTATATAATGAGAGCCAATCTATTTGGCAGTTCAGGAAAGGGGTTGAAGAAGCCAAAAAGTTCCTTCCAAATGGTAATGGATTGTTAGTGGGTGTGGATGTCAATGGGTTGTTTCCTCAGGAGCTGAAGGGAGAAAATGGTGACATGGTGAATATGGTGAAGAAAAAAGATGAGGGAGAGTACTCATCAGCAATCTCGAGGGGGAGGAAGAATCCTAAAAGGGAGGGTATAGAATTAGAAGAAGGGAGAAGCAGCAAGCAGGCGGCTGTTTATGCAGAATCAACAGTGCGGTCGAAGGAGTTTGATTTGGTTTTGCTTTGTAGTAGGGGAAAAGGTGGGTCGGCCATGCCATCTTATAGCGAAAGCTTGCGGCATGAAGCAAGCAAGAAGTCGAAAGGATCTAGTGGAGGAAAAGGCCGTGGTAAGAGGCAAAATGGGAAAAAGGAAGTAGTAGATTTGAGAACCCTGCTTATTCATTGTGCACAGGCTGTTGCAGCTGATGATCGTATGACTATTTATGAACTGCTAAAACAGATTAGGCAGCATTCTTCACCTTTTGGTGATGGGAATCAAAGATTAGCCCATTGCTTTGCTAATGGTCTAGAGGCACGCATGGCTGGCACCGGGAGCCAGATCCATAAAGCTTTAGTCAGTAAGAGAGCATCTGCAGCTGATTACTTGAAGGCTTACCATCTGTATCTTACCTCATGCCCATTCAGGAAGATTTCAAATTTTGCCTCAAACAGGACAATATTGATTAAAGCAGAGAATGCGATGAGGATCCACATCATAGATTTTGGTATCCTTTATGGTTTTCAGTGGCCTACCTTCATTCAACGTATGTCGTCAAGAAATGGTGGACCTCCAATGATTCGAATTACTGGGATAGAATTTCCGCAACCTGGTTTCCGGCCAGCAGAGCGAATTGAGGAGACAGGACGTCGCCTAGCAGACTATGCGCAGAGTTTCAAAGTGCCTTTTGAGTACACTGCCATTGCAAATAAATGGGAGCACATCAAAGTTGAGGATCTTAAGATTGACAAGGATGAATTTCTTGTTGTCAACTGTTTGTATCGATCTGAAAACTTACTTGATGAGACTGTGGCAGTCAGCAGTCCAAGAAATATTGTTATCAACCTGATAAGGAAGATTAATCCAGATATTTTCATCCATGGGATTGTGAATGGAGCATACAATGCCCCATTCTTTGTCACACGTTTCCGGGAGGCTCTGTTCCATTTCTCCGCACTGTTTGATATGCTTGAAACTAATGTACCCCGTGAGCATTGTCAAAGGATGCTGATTGAGAGAGAGTACTTTGGGAGGGAAGCTTTGAATGTTATAGCTTGTGAAGGATGGGAGAGAGTTGAGAGGCCAGAGACATATAAGCAGTGGCATGTACGTAATCTGAGGGCAGGCTTCACGCAGATCCCTTTTGACCGGGAGATCATGGAAAGAGCAACCAATAAGGTCCGGTCTTACCACAAGGATTTTTTGATTGATGAAGACAGCCAGTGGTTGGTGCAGGGATGGAAAGGGCGAATAATTTATGCCCTTTCTTGTTGGAAACCTGTTTAGGTATTTGAATGGCATGTACAATACGCGCTCTGGCCTCCTACATATATGCAGTTACGATTGAGTATGAAGGTAGCAAATCTTTGTCACCTTAGTTTTCAGTTTTGCCGCATGCTTCTTTTACTCCCACGTTATGTTCTTGTTGATTTTGTTCATCATAAAAAAAAAGGCTGTGCTGATCCAATGATAAACACTAATGCTATTGGGATTTTGATGGTTAACTCTTTATGGATCCGGCTAGGACTACCAGAAGTAAGAGATTATGTATCCTCACAAGATATCGCTACTTCAGCTGAATGCTTATTGTTGAATAGATAATTTGGTAGGATAAGTGTTGTGACATGTATTGATGATGGTTGAAAATCTTACATGTGAAGGAGGAAACTGTTCTACATAACCTATATATGATTTATGAAGGGCATTTTTGCTGCTGTTGTTGTTTCAAGAATCTCTCTCTCTCTCTCTCTCTCTTGTGTTGGCTTAAGAGTAAATATGGTGTTATCAAACTAGAATCATAGTCCTTTCTACCAAGGTAGATGACACTAGCATTTTTTAGTGTTCATATTCTTTCTGTTACTCCAGGGATCATAGCCCTTTTATTCTATTACTGTTGTGCCTTCTTTGGGGTCATCAGCTGAGAAATCTTCATATTTGACTCCCAGAAATTGGGCGAGGGGAGGCTACCAACCCAAAAAAAAGAAAAAAAACACTTCAAGAAGAGCAAACAATCAAAGCAATAAATGAAGGATGCAAGCACAAATTAGATGGACCAATAGAAAATCTACCAAGTGCACAAAGAATTTAGGGTTAATCTCATTTTGCATCCCGAAAAATGTTTCGATTTTTAATTTGCACCCTTCAACATTAAAAATCTCAATTTACACTCTTAAATTTATGAATTAATAGCAATATAGACCTAACCTAAACTGTCGTTCAATTTTTCGTTATAAATTGAAGCACATGAGTTGCAAATTATTTAAACACAAGCTTATGTATAAATTCACATACATTTGACACTATATATAAGTTGTATATGATATGATTAGTTTCTATCTGATTAATGAAATTCTACTTTTAATACAAAAAATAATGTTAAATTGATTGCAGACGAAGATTCTGTAGTGATGGGCATACTTCATCCTCATGTCCGAAGCACTTGCACCTTAAGTGCTTAAATTTATAACGAAAAACTAAACAACAGGTTGGGTCAGGTCTATATTATTATAAATTCATAACATTGAGAATGTAAATTGAGATTTTAATATTTGAGGGTATAAATTACGAATTAAAATATTTTTCAGAGTATAAAATGAGATTAGTCCAATAATGTAAGAGAGAAGATAATATGCCACAATAGAAATTCGAATGACCAATAAAAATTCTCAAAAGCATATCCCAATAACTCAGTCAGCATCAACCTCGAAGATATGAAATCTGGTTTTGGAATATATTATAGAGAGCAATGTGGAGCTGAACATATGAAGCTGCCAAAAAGGATTCCCTTCTAGCTTCTTCCTTGAGAGGTTCCACAACAATGTTTTTTTAACCTCTATCATGTGGGTTATCTTTTAGTATCTGGGTTTTGGCAGGGAGGACCTTGAGGCTGTCTGGTCATTATTATTATATACGATGTCGAAATATAATACGATTCATTAATACTATATGAATACGACACAAAATTAGAGAGTTTTGATCTTCTTTGAGCCACCCGTTTAATAAATAAGTGAACTCGACACGACACGATTAATAAACGAATCAGGTCTGAGTGAAACTAATAAAAAAAATATATGACATGACTTCTTTATATACTGTTTATATATGATTGATATACGACAAGAACCTAATATGACACGATTCATTAAACACGAATCGGATAGGAGTAGAGTATTTTTTAACAAAAACCCATTATGACCCAACTATATATATAATATGTCATTGAAAGGAATAAATAACCTGGTTCCATGCAATAATTTACTAAGATACACTTTCTTCTAATTTTCTCGGGAGAGGTAAATGGTAGACAGAGTCTAAAGTTGTCTACATCCAAATGAGCGTGGCATAACCAATTCCCCAACTTTTAGACAATTGTTTGATATTATAGTACTTTCATGATTTCATTCAATTTGTTTTGTAACTCCAACGTTATTTTAACAAATGCGTGGACAACCGGTGTTTTCTGTATTGTGCTCGTTTGATAGTGGATTTGGTGTTTATTCCATTGCTATTTTAATACAACTTTTGGGGTTTTCCCGTAAAATAGTGTTATTGTTTGTGTGATTTCTTTGCAATTACTTCTTTAGTTCTGTTTTAGCTTGCACCAGCATGTGTCTCCTTCTATGTTTAGAGCTCTTCACTTAACCTGTGACTAGAGGTTCTGGTCAAAAAAAAAAAAAAAAAACTGTTACTAGATGTGGCAATTTTATGTCACTATCCATTAACTCGTCTAACTCAATCATAAATAAATAAAATGGGTACCTACTTATGTTAATTAATAAAAATTTTAAATGAGTTGAGTAATATAATTTATTTTAATTAAACGTGATGAGCCCAGATCCAACTGGGTCAGATCCAGTCCATGAAGTAAGCCCAAATCAACTACAAAGAAGGTTAAACTCAGCTCATAAATTTAATTCAATCTAAAGTTTAAAAAGATCAACACACGTAGGGAGTAAACACCAAGATAACTACTCCTCGAAGATTATAAATATCTTTAATTGTACTTATTTTTAACTGTAGTTATCCTCCTCGAAGAACTAATCACTTATTCCTTTATGTCACCATCTCAACTAAGATTTTGTGTCTATAAATTATAAACCCTCTACACATGAGAGACACAACTCTCCCACTCATAGCTACCTCACCACACTTAAAGCTTACTCGTGCTCTCCCATCAACTACTTTATCAATAAAATCCTCCGGCCACCGTTACAGCCTTCAATGTGCAGTGAGTCACCCCGATCAAATCACTCTATATCTGTGTTGCTTGTATGAATCTCCTCTTTATATTTACTGCATTTATTACCTATATTAATTACTCGACAGGGGGTGGATAAATCCATTTTTATACATCATCAAAACAAATTAGTATAGATTATAAATGAGTACCCATTAAAATAAGTATTTATCTTTCTATTAAATAATACAAGTAATAAAATCAAATAAATATACTAATATATCAAAAAAATACACACACATTAATGCACAAAAAATATATACACACTAGTATACCAAAAAACACACACTAATACACCTGCCTCGGCCCATTGCCGTCTCATGACCAATGACCCAATCCAAAACATAAGTACTAAAATAAATATTTTTGCCTTTTTTGTGTTAATATATGTGTACATATTTTTATTGTGTATTTTGATGTATTAATGTGTGTATTTTTAATATATTACTATATATTCATATTAAGAGTTTTATTTATTTTATGGGTTTAACTCAGCCCGTTATAACCCGTTTTATTAAATAGATTAAAAACAAATTGAATTTATTTTGCACCCAATCCATCTTGAACCAACCAACCAATCGTGCTCATTTGCCACAACTTCCTTTTACCTTGGCTATATAAATGAACAAGAAAATGTATAAAAATGGTTAAACAATCAAAATCTTTGTCCTCAGTTCCCAAGATATTTGAATGGTGGTCCTATGGAGACATCACCCAGATTGAATGGTGGTCCTAAGGAGACATCACCCAGATTGCGATCGATTCCCTCGAGAGATTGACATTGATTTGTTTTAAATAATAGCTCAGAAAACCAAGAATTAGATAAAACATAAGCTAGATTACTGATATTGATAAACATAATCTAGATAACTAATCTTGAAAGTGAGTGACATATCCGGAAACATATCTGATGGCGACCAAGCATCAGAAACGAGTAGTGATCTGGGAAAATACAGCCTTGAAATCCTTTGTGGGCGTGCCGGTTCCCTCGGGCTTCGAGGCCAGATCAAATGCCTTGCATTTGGCCTCCTCGAATTGTAGTGCCTGTTCATTAGAGATCATATCACATAATATGCCACTAAGATACATAATACAAAACCAAAAGATCCTGCATGGAATGCATAGACTGAACACTTGCAAAAGCAAAACCATTTATGAATACATACCTGAATACAGACTTCTGCAACATCAGAACGGGCTATAGTTCTTGTTTCTGTCTGAAGAAGTTCATCATCCTTTCCAACAAGTAACTCCCGGATGCCACCTTCTTTATCTTGCAAGCCTCCAGCCCTGGACCAACCAAAAGAAGCAAAGGGCATGTTCTAGTTTTTAGGAATGATGTACAAAAACATGACCAACAACGGATTCAAAAGATGGAGATCAATCCGGGCTTAACAATTATTCGTTATATAATTTTAAGAAAAAGTACTCAAACATGGAAACTCTAGGTAAAATTTACAAGATGTGACCTTGAGAAGACGAATTATATTACAAAAGAAACTAAAAAAGAAAACGGGCGAAAGGAAATCATTGCTTTAAAGTCATTTAGAATTTATTAGTAGTCGATGGTTAATCCAGAAAGTGTCAATGATATGGGATAAAGACTTGCTTACGAGACTGAGAACCACTGTTGGTTACAGAATTGTTCATATAGATAGAAAATTGGTCTTAGGAGGTATCACAGAGAAAATTTGAGAAATCGAAAAAATCAACAAATTTTATGTAAAACTTTCATTGCTTTAGATGTCTTTAATGACATGCCAATTGTAATGAACACCATAAACAACTTGATAACCTTATCGTTGATTCATCTAGGTGCAATAATAAAAACAAAGGCTGCCACTACCTATAGGCATACCATTTTCCTCAACTGTCAATTATGATGGCTACAGGAGATGGGATCTGTGAATATCATAAGAGTAATGTAACGAAGTCTGCAAATGGAAAAGTCATACCAGACCCCACAGTGGCGGAAGCCTCGTACAATGGGACGCATTTTGAGACACCATTCAAACACAAGCACCTTCAACCATCTTTTATTGCATCGGCCAAATCTAAAATCAGTCATGAAACCAAAGCGTACAGACATGGGCATACCTTATAATTGTGTATGGGACTCCAGAGTCAGCCAGATACTGTTCAGCTTTTCTCTTCCAAACCTGTAATATGGCAAACACAAGTGGGGATAAGCATGAATCTAGTGAAATGCAATTCTAGCACCTCATTCTCATAAACATAAGGCAAAAGGCAATGAGACAAACAAATACTTTCAACAAGAGAAAGAAATACAAACCAATATATTCCCGTTCCCCAAGCTGTTTAGTGGGTTGTTAAGATTTGTTCCTCCCATTGACCCAACCAAAACAATTTGCTTCACTCCAGCAGCTTTAGCTGTACATATAATTCACCTAATTAAGCAAAATAAAAACTTGAAAACTAATTAAAAAAATATAAGAGTAATACAACAACCCCTTACCAGCATCTATTTGATTTTTTTGCCCAATCCAGTCAACCTGAAATACATAATCGACATCATGGGGAATAAGAAAAGGAAAAGCAAATTACGATACTATATAATCAGCATCATGAGGGATAAGTAAAAGTAAAAGCAAATTCCAAGATCCTTAAGGTAGATGATATGATATTTACTTGTTCCGGATATGCTCCATCCTCAAAAAAGAACTCCGGTCTTCCACCTTTACTTGGATCAAAACCAGGTTTCATTTTTGGCACAGCACTTGTGAGAATTATAAGAGCGTCAATACCTTGGATCGCAGGAACAATGCTGTCGCCATTCCTTATATCCCCAATATAAACATCATCAGCTCCACCAATTTTTTCCTTGCTCTCTTCGGTTCTGACTAAACCTCTAGCAATATAATGATCTGACCTCTCCTTCAATTTCTTATAAACGATTTGGCCTGCAAAGATTAAGCAACACAAAACCATGTCAGAAACAGAATTGATGACGAGAGATCATATGTTTCATTTTCACCTCAGAATGAACAAACAAAATTTGAAAAGGTTCATTAGTGTAGATACAATGTTTGAATTTTATAGTATTAATCTTATGAATGTAAATCCTAAGAACACGAGACTGACAAATTTCTGCATCTTTTGCTCCTAGTTACATTCAAATCCATGTAACTACCAAAATTAATCAACAAACTACATGAATTCCTAACAGTTCATTATTATTATCGATGATTATTAGCATATAATGTTACCTATGCTTGCTAAAGTTGATGTAGTCATAACCCATTGTCTCTATTTCAAATACAATTGCAGAAAACATTTAATATAGCTTGTAACGTGCCCATTAATTCTATTGCTTCAGATGTATAAACAAAGTCCCCAAGATTGGTACCAAATCATACCCTTCGTGATTTCAAGTCCAAAAGTGCCAAACCTAAATGATCAACATTTTACAATGACAAAGGAAAGTGGAATCATCACTAGGTGGAAGTGCCCACAATTAGTGCCACAGTGCAAAGTCAAATGGCGGACCACTGAGCCTCAAATACATAATAAATGCCACTCTTGAGGCTGTGTTCCAACAGTCTGATATAAACCCGATTGACATCCAATCTACAACCAATTGGTAAATAAGCTGATATTGCTGGTCGTATTTTGCTTCTTTTTTTTTTGTTTAAATATGGGACAAGGGTAATCATAACAGACCGCCAAGCTCAACAACTATGGGACCATTTGACACGTCTCTCACTCTGCTAAAGCGGCCCTCTCCATGTAGCCTTTTTTAAGGTGGTGCTCACAATAGGTAGCATCACTCTGGTGGTAGGTAGTCCTTTCCTCCCTAACTGTCATTCTACCCCAGGCCACTCCTAGGTAGCCCTTTCCATGGATCCCACTCTATACCCCTGATACACCATTGAAGAAATATCACAACAAATAAGAACAAATTTCCGCATTTGGCGGTATGCCCTCTTTAAGCAGCCACCTGCTTAAAGGAGAAAAGTAAGCACGTTCTCTTATTTATAAACCCTAACTGCTAATCTTATCAAAAAATCTGAATTGGGAGGAAATCCAATTGGAAGCTTAACTAATTGCAAAGATAGGATCAGAATTCAAATAGATCATCTTCTTGTTACATGTTATTCTAAGTGATATAAGAAACAAGTAGAAACCACATGAGAATTCTCTGAACAGGCCCACAGTCTTGCACTTATCACAATCATGAGTCTTCTGGGTATTGTTCAGCACTCTTTCAACTTCCAATTAGTTTTCTCAATTGCATTTTTCTTTCTTTTCCTAATCATTGTAAAAGTACTGAAACACCCAAATTTCAATTATCAACCCTTGAAAACTCAAACCCACCACAATTCAATACAATACACTCTAACCCATTTTCATTCTAGTACTAATCTAAGATTTGCCTCTGAAAAAGTATATCATCCAAACCACCACCACTGCTATTTCATCTAAACCCCAAAACCCACACACAGAAACATCTCAAACCGAACATAGAGACATCACATTAAAGATATTAAATATATCAGGTGAAATTATCAAAGAAGAGAAGCAAGGCAGGCAAGAATTAATATCTACCGGTTCTACCACCAGCTCCGGTGACAAGAACTGTGCTTGGATTCGCCATTGCTGATGAAACCCCCACAAGGGTAAGCCTCTTGAAGCTCCTTCTCTTCCGGTAATGAAATGTGGATGAAGTGAAAATTGTAGATGTCTCTGGAAGCCCATTAAAAGAACAATTCAACGAACAATGTTTACGACATTGACTGAAGCTTGGAGGAGAAGAAATGGTTGAGGCTATAGTGACACGTGTCGCCATGGGTATGCGATGAAGACTAGTAGGACGGATTTGTATCCATCCGTTGGTGGTGGTGGTCGACGGTGGAAACGCGAAGCAGATATGATACCAAAGCTGCTACGATATATTCCCTTCGGCCACCTTATCCTTTGCCACTTCACCCAAACTATTTTGGAGTTTGGGTTCAATTGACAGTGCCAAGATAAACCAATTATTGTGCTTTGTTTTATAGATAGAGAGAGTCGTTCGATAATTGACTATTATTTAGGTGTTAAAATTATTTTTAAGCGTATTTTTGGATTAGCATGTGCTAAAGTTTGATTGAATTTAAGCTTCAAACAAATACGATCTTGTTACTTATTCGAACTGACTGATGTGAGATTCTAAAATCGTGACTGTTCAAATAATTGTAACAAGATGTAAAATTACCTCTAAATTCTTTTATATGCCTTAAGAATCAAAAATTTTAAATAATTTTTCACCTAACATCGAAATGGAAGTAACAAATACACCGAGTTTAGAAGATATAAAGAGTACTTTATAGATACTTGTCGCTTTTATTTAATATTAAGTACATTGCAGATAGGTGTTGCTTTCATTTAACAACTTTTAATGAATTTATGATATCCTACTTTAATACATTTTAGATGGTATAAAAATATATTTTTAGCAAAAATCTTATTAAAAACATACGCTAATAATGAATTTTGAAAAAAAAAATTCATATCAGAATTGTCTAGCTTATTTGCTACAAAAATAAGAATTTGTTTAAAGTAAAGACATGAAAGATTTTAAATTTCTTATGAAAATTACACTTATGGAGAATTAATTTCTGAATGTATTTTAGAAGGATTTAACACTATTTAATAATTTAAATCTCAAATCTCAACTTAAAGACAAAAGTTAATTAGTCGAAAAGAACTTGAAGAATTTTGTATTCAATTTGCTTATAATCTTGATAATCCAAAAGATAAATTTTTATCTAAAAGAAAATTTTACAATAAATCATATAAGAAAAGAATAAAATTCCATAAAAAGAATTATGAAAAAAATAAAATAAACAAACCCACTAAAAAACTTAAATCAAAAAGTAAAAAACCATTTAAGTGTTTCAAGTGTGAAAAAGAAGGACATATTGCTTCTAAATGTTTAACTAAACAAAAAATAAATGAATTAATTGTCGATGAAGATTTGAAAGATAAGATTTTAAGAATAGTTTTAAATTCAGAAAGTGACGAAGGAGAATTTTCAGATAGCTCATTTTCTGAAGAAGAAAAATTATGTAATATTAATGAAATAAGCAATAATTCATCTGATGAACATCAATTAGAACAAGATAAAACCTGTTCATCACACTGTCAAGCCCAAACTAATTATTATAAGGCCATTTTAGAAATGAATAGACTAAGTGTAAACACTTTAATTAAGTCCTAAACATTAATTCTTGATCTTATAGATCAAATTTAAGATTCAGTATGAAAAAGGAAAGCTATTGGATAATATTTGGAAATAACTTTAGAAGAGAAGAAACATTCTCTGGTTCAACCTTATTCTTTAAAGAAAGTTCTTAATAGAACAAAAAATATGATAATTGAAGGGAAAAAAACTTTGTTGCAAGATCTTAAAGGAGAAATTAATTAACTTAAAGTTGAAATAAAAATAATAAAATAAATATTTTTGACACTTGAGAAATTGCCAATTAAAAATGAAGAAGATGCAAAAGAGTGTGAATACTTAAATATATTAAAAAAGATAACTTATCAAATATGGTATGTTAACATCATACTAGTAATAAATCCAAAATTCACTGTTGAAACCATCTCTTTAGTACAATACTCTTTTTATCTTCTGTACAATACTCTTTGTTCTTTTATTAAATTTTCAATTCTACTCAAGTGTTGTCTTGTCACTTGTAGACAAACATTAGTGTAGTTATTTTGTTTGATAGATATATTTCTTCCTATGTCATGCTTATTTTTTAGAGAATAACAAGTATTCATTATTATTTCACCAAACTCATTTGAATTTGAAGCTAGCTTTACGGCTTCATTTGTTGGAGGATAAAAATTATTGATATTTTTACAATCCAATGTTTCTCATTTATGCTGATAATTTTCAATTACATTTAATTGATCCATGGTAGGTGAAACATACTAGGTTAAAAACCATTTAACAAAAGGAATTACCATTTTTTTCCTTTTTATATAAACGTAAAACATTTCTATATGTCTTTTAAGATCTTCTTGGTTCATGGTCTTAAAATACCAAGTTTTCANATTAATTTCTGAATGTATTTTAGAAGGATTTAACACTATTTAATAATTTAAATCTCAAATCTCAACTTAAAGACAAAAGTTAATTAGTCGAAAAGAACTTGAAGAATTTTGTATTCAATTTGCTTATAATCTTGATAATCCAAAAGATAAATTTTTATCTAAAAGAAAATTTTACAATAAATCATATAAGAAAAGAATAAAATTCCATAAAAAGAATTATGAAAAAAATAAAATAAACAAACCCACTAAAAAACTTAAATCAAAAAGTAAAAAACCATTTAAGTGTTTCAAGTGTGAAAAAGAAGGACATATTGCTTCTAAATGTTTAACTAAACAAAAAATAAATGAATTAATTGTCGATGAAGATTTGAAAGATAAGATTTTAAGAATAGTTTTAAATTCAGAAAGTGACGAAGGAGAATTTTCAGATAGCTCATTTTCTGAAGAAGAAAAATTATGTAATATTAATGAAATAAGCAATAATTCATCTGATGAACATCAATTAGAACAAGATAAAACCTGTTCATCACACTGTCAAGCCCAAACTAATTATTATAAGGCCATTTTAGAAATGAATAGACTAAGTGTAAACACTTTAATTAAGTCCTAAACATTAATTCTTGATCTTATAGATCAAATTTAAGATTCAGTATGAAAAAGGAAAGCTATTGGATAATATTTGGAAATAACTTTAGAAGAGAAGAAACATTCTCTGGTTCAACCTTATTCTTTAAAGAAAGTTCTTAATAGAACAAAAAATATGATAATTGAAGGGAAAAAAACTTTGTTGCAAGATCTTAAAGGAGAAATTAATTAACTTAAAGTTGAAATAAAAATAATAAAATAAATATTTTTGACACTTGAGAAATTGCCAATTAAAAATGAAGAAGATGCAAAAGAGTGTGAATACTTAAATATATTAAAAAAGATAACTTATCAAATATGGTATGTTAACATCATACTAGTAATAAATCCAAAATTCACTGTTGAAACCATCTCTTTAGTACAATACTCTTTTTATCTTCTGTACAATACTCTTTGTTCTTTTATTAAATTTTCAATTCTACTCAAGTGTTGTCTTGTCACTTGTAGACAAACATTAGTGTAGTTATTTTGTTTGATAGATATATTTCTTCCTATGTCATGCTTATTTTTTAGAGAATAACAAGTATTCATTATTATTTCACCAAACTCATTTGAATTTGAAGCTAGCTTTACGGCTTCATTTGTTGGAGGATAAAAATTATTGATATTTTTACAATCCAATGTTTCTCATTTATGCTGATAATTTTCAATTACATTTAATTGATCCATGGTAGGTGAAACATACTAGGTTAAAAACCATTTAACAAAAGGAATTACCATTTTTTTCCTTTTTATATAAACGTAAAACATTTCTATATGTCTTTTAAGATCTTCTTGGTTCATGGTCTTAAAATACCAAGTTTTCAATTCTTCATATTTAGAAAGATAAAATTCTTCATTAATTTATTTTTTATTTATTATAAATTCTTTTGGGTTTATTTTCTTAGTTGGGTAGTGGGGGTATATCTCAGTTCTATAATTTATTTTTAATATCTGAGAATTTCATTTCTTCCATATTTTTAACATAATCTTCTTTGTGTTTATTACTTAATTTAAATAGGCTTAATGCCATGTTTGTTTTTCAAACAGTTTATGTTGATCTATGTGCTTTTCTATTACCTCCATGTTACTGCAGTAATTAGTATTTTATTTCTACTACATTAATGTTATAGTGATTGTTGATATAATAATTCCGCTATAGTGATCTTCTTTCTATTTTCTACTCTTGCTATCAACGATTTGTGGGGAACACAAACGGCCTCACTCCTATCTCTCAGACATGACCTAACATCCCACATGCGACTTAGGTGCAAAACCATAGCAACAAAAAAAAAATCATTATAACATAATTAATATAACAAATTCAAAATAACATTAGTCTACTAGAAATAAAACATAAGTAACAAGTATTAGTAACAGATCTTCATATAAATCAACATAATAAATTTAAACTGTCATTAATTGGCTCTGATACCAATAGGGGAAAGGATCGATGTAATAAGGAAAATGGGTGGTTAGGAAGAGGAGAGAGAAGAATGACGGTTTGGGAGAGAGAGGAAGTGGACTGTCATCATTGTACATGTGTAGGGAGATATAAAAGGAAGAAAAAAAAAACTCTTCAAGACTTGGCCATTTTTGGCTAAGGCAAGGAAGACCAATAAAGGAAGGAAAAAAAAAGAAGAAGAAGAAAGGAAAGAAAGGAAAAGAGTTTGGGTGGTGGTGCAAGAGGTAGGCTATGAGGAACCATTTTCTTTATTTGTTTTGTTTCTTGAAAAAAGAAAAAAGAAAAAAAAACATAGTATGAAAATTATTGTTTGAGATTTGGGAATTTAAGCATGCAAGTTGGGTGTTGTTTAAGATTTGAGAATTATGTTGATGAAATAGTATGAAAATTAGTTAAGCATGCATGTTGGGAATTACTTGAGATTTGAGAATTTTGTTTATGTATATAGTAGGGTGTTGCATGTAGTTGTTAAAATGAAGTTTGATTATGTGTGTATAATACTATGGTTTTTGGTAAGGAAATTGATCTAAGGTGTAGGTGAGTATGTAGCATTAAGTGTTGTTAAAAATAAATTCAAGAAAGTAAAATTGTTATATATAAGTAGAATTTAAATTAAGGAAGGTAATGGTTTAGTGGGTAATCTAACAATGGTGTAAAAATATTTCTTGAAATGTATGAATTCATGGGTGTATGAAATTACAAAAAAATATGTATACTTTATAATGTTATAGGAAATTATGTAGCTTCGAGTACATTTTATGGGAAATAGTAATATTGTGAAAAATATATAATTTGGGTGTTTTGAGTTCGTACAAAT